AAATTTTGACGACGAGAGGGCCTTAGTTCGCCTGAAAGCTTTTCATACTAACAGGATTCGGAGACGGTTTACCTTCGAGCTAGCTCGTTTTCTGTCGATGCGAACTCGCGATGTGTTCAAACGTCATGGGCTACTGATCGACCAACTTCCACCAGGGCCAATCGGTTGGGATCTCTGCGACAACGATAGTAGTGAGGGTAATTCTTATGGGAGAGACGAAGACGAAGGAAAGGGAAAGGGAAGAAAGGAGGACGAAGACGACGATGGAGCAGGAAAACATGGAGGAGTGGAAGAGAGCAAAGGGTTTGAGCCACATGACCTTCCCCACAACAAGAAACGTAGGGCTAGGGAAGAACTGCCCAGAGATTCTTCTTGTCGAAATGAGGATCAGAATGATGGGAGCGAAAACAAGGAGGATACTGGTGAAAGTACTCCTAAACGACCTCGAGTACTAGGTAATTGCCTTGGTAAACGGGTGCAGTTTTCTTCTGTTGCTGCTGTTTCTGTTTTTGATCCGACGGATAGTTTAGCCTACCCCATGCTGCCCCCTCACGGGGTCCCACTTCATGGTAGATAGAAGTGTTTTGTGTTTTCAACCGCACTAAGACTGACGTCTTTTCATTGGTCAGCCGGTTAGCGCGGTCGATGCTAAAAATAAAACACACACACCATCCACCCCGTATGGAAGGCTCAGCCGTTTTCATCGTCGTTCCCCGGCTGTTCTTGTTACTGCACGCGCAGGTTGCAAGTTGATATTACAATCCCCCAGAGCAGGCTGTCTGCTGGGAAGACTAAAAAACTCACGTCCTAAGACCAAGGCGTGCCTCTCTTTACAAGCATGGTGCATTTTTTCTACTATATCACATGCAAAGAAGTACACATATCTGCCGTTGAACACACCCAAAGTGCACTTGCTGCACATGTATGTGTACGATGTATCGGAAAGAATCAGCCCGCCGCCAATGTTGCTAACACGCACACCTTTTCTTCTTGCCGGGTCTCGTCCACAGACGCTTGTTCGCCAGCACTGGTAGTGCGGGAGAATACTGGGCTACGGATGCCATCCTCCATCGCCAGAGGAGACCCACGGGAGGCCCTCTCGGTACTCGGTCACTGCACTGCAGCTGCAGCTTGATGTCTGTGCTCTGTGCTGCCTCTCTTTCAATCCGCGGCACTCCCCCCACAGTCAACCAAGCTAATCCTGTCTGTGGGGCCTCCAATCTCCAGGCGACCGAGTCGACCGAGTCAACTTTGACGGAAGAATCACAGAGCATTGTAAGGCCGGACGAGCAACGAAGAGAGCGCAGCCAGCAGCGTGGCAGGCATGGAGCCTTTCGGGTTTGAATCGGGGCCGAGCCGGGCGGTGCAGACGTTCCAGTCGCACGAGGAAAGCTACCATCGGTGCTCGATGTCGATCAACCGCGCCATCAACGGCATCCAGCTGAACAACCTTGTTGACGCCGTCGGCGCGACCTCGCTGCCGCTCGACCTTCAAGAAGCCGAACAACATGTGCGTGAAGGTGTACGAAGCGAACTCAGTGTGCCTCTGCGTTCGCTCTGGGATGGGGACAGCTCATGATGATGTATGTGAGACGGCGAGAATTGGCAGTATTTTAAACTTCCCCCTGTTCCCACTTCAACACGCCCCCAACACACAGCTTCTCAAACACCTGACGACGCTCTGTTCCCAGTCGTGGCGTGTGTAGTACGGCTGCTCTGTTGTGCTTCGTGTCGTGAAACCACGTGCGCGATCTCGTCCAAGTCCAAGGAGCAGCAAACCAATCAACTTACCACAGACCTGTTTTGTGGACTGGTGCGCAGACCTTTCAGGAGAAACCAAGATTTAGATTTCTCCGCATTTCCTTCGCGTCGATTCACGTCACGAGTGCCGCATACCGTACGTGTCATGGCAGTCTTTCTTTGTGTGTACAATATTGATTTCTCCTGATTTGTGTAGATAGATACCAATTGTCACGAAGGAGGAACGAGCTCCGAAGTACCTCTTGCTTGTGTGCGACAGCCCACCAAGTGCACACAAGGCAGCTCATGTCTAGTCTCCGAAACCTTGAGTCCATGCTGCTGTCTTCTAATTGCGCAAACGGTATGTCTTCTTCCACTCCTCACGAAACTCACATTTCAACGCCCTTTCTCTTCACAAAATCGGAAATGAAAAAAGAGGCACGATTTCGAAATTCTCCAGACGTAAAGATCCAGAACACAGGAACAGGAAGAACACCCTCTCACTTCCTTTTATCAAACCTGTGCAAGACAGGGAAACAGTGGAAAAGAGAGACGCTCCGTCATCCGCCCGCCCCCCCCGCTCTGCTCGAGCCACGCCCGCGACCGTCCGTCCCGCTGGGATCAGGTCCTTCCCCCTGTTTGTGTCTCTCTTCGTGCGCTTGTCTTTCTTCTCTCCTTTCTCATCACGGTGACGGTAGTGCACTTCCAGCCGGATGCCCTTCGCCAGCCCGGGCCCGAGACGGTCATCGAGCACCTCTACGACCTCCGCACCAAAGGGCGGCGGCGAGGGCAGCGTGCGGGTCATGGACCTGACCCGCCTGGGCGTGTTGCCGCACGGGAGGCAGCTGGAAACCGCTTCCCTCGACGACTTGAGCAACAAAAATTGGCGCTTTGGTCGACGCAGGCTCTGCCAGCGACAAGCCCGGCATGATGGCCGTCGGCCTTCCCGCCCGTGGGAACGCCGACTCCGTGGCCGTGGGCGACGCCCGCACGAAGGCGGTCCTAGCCCAAGCGCTCCTGCAGTACCTGTGGCGCTGCGACAACCACGGCGGTCTCCGGATGTCCGCGACCGCGGTTCTCCTCCCGGTTCTTTCTGCCATGGCAGCCACACCTTCAGCATCAGGCGGAGCAACCTCTTCCTCTCCTTCCGCAGCGACGTCTGCTGCGGTAGCGGCCGCTGCCCCTTTGCTCTTCCCCGACGGTCATCACGAGCAAGCGCTTCCTGTCGAAAATCTCTGGCGCCACAGCAGACCTGGCCGAGGAGAGCGTGGCCGGAGACCGCGAGCCCCGCGAGAAGAAGCGGTCGCTAATATATACCAGCAGCTCGAGCAAGGCGATTCGCTTAGAAAAAGTAGAGATCGCAAAAGACTGCTCGTGGAATGCACACATGTCCAAGGTAGCGGAAAAGGGCAAAGCACGAGCAGGGAAGCTGCACCCAATACTCGCAAACCGGCACCTCGATACACGCATCAAATTGACGGTTTTG